ATGACATAAATTTATTTAATTTTAATAAGCAATAGCATAAAATCGATGTAAAATTTCCCTGGGAACACGATGGTGCAATTATTTTTTTGCTACTTGCCGTAGTTTACGAGATATTTGCGAAAAACCTTATTTTTTACGGTTTTTTGACCTTTTGACCCCTTTCCTGACCACATAGGTCAAAAATTTTTGCGGATTCGGATTCCTGAGGGTCGAAAACATATTTGCGCCCAGGTTTGATCGACAGAGGAAAAAATGGAGGTTCAGCCTTCATTTCAATGGACTAAATAATTACACCGCGCCACAAGACCAGTGTATCCTATAGCATTCTGCTGAATCCGAATTTCGTCAAGGTCCAATACTACATGACTGTAAGATGGCAGGCTTCCATAACCTCATAACCCAATAACCCCAATAATCCCAAAATCCTGGATGCGCGAGGATGTATATCCATGAATCTTTGAGAAATCGAGTGTGTTGTTTTGTTGTAGCTCCATAATTCCTTAACCCTACCCATGTAAGCTCCTGTAGATCCATGATCTAAGGTATACAAATTTATGTTTCTTTCTGATAAAACATAATAATATTTCCTTGATTGTACAATCAGTGTTTGTGAGTTTTTGAGGTTATAGGGTTATGGGGCTACGTTTTACATATTTTTAATAAAAAGTTGGTTGGTTGGTTATACGTTTTCGTCATAAACAAAATCTTCTATGCACTAGGGGTATTAGTAAAATGATCTCTGTTAAGCGACATTCACCCTTAATAACCTTCTTGGCGCATAATGAATTATTATGGTTTTAATTTGAAAAAAATCTAATTACTTACCACGGAGAAAAGTAGATATCCAGTATTTACAAGAATATTACCTTTGGTCATTTCAAAGTAAGTGTTGTCCCACGAAATATGATTCCTTATTATAAAAGTAAAAATATTCTGCATTTCCGATAAACAACAGAAAAATATAAAGAATAACGGCCAGCCAATTGCCTTATTAAAACACTTAGTTAAATGTGTGACATCCATGTACATTTTTTTAATATTCTTGATAAGGTAAATATTAGCAATATAAACACCATTTGCTTCGACGGGAAACATGTCATTTACAGCTTTACATCCATGTAATAAAAAGATGCCGATACTAAGAATTGTGTACGCAATGAGGAAATAAAAATAACGATACATGTGTATAGATATATAGTAGGAAATCTGAAGTTTATTTTCTATAATATCACTGATAATTAAGATTGTCATCGTTAGGTTGGCCAAGAAAAACCATATATTCTTATGCCAGTGTGGGGCAGTTAAACCCAACCTGATTTTTGTAAATTCAACCTTACGAAATAGGTCTTGCCAGCCATACATATTCCACGACGACCCTAGCACAGTGACAACAAGCAAACTGAAACCTCCTATTTCGGTAGAGCATTCAGCTACAGCTACTGTTATAGGACTTTGTACAAACAGTTTCTGGATTCGGAAAAACAAAAACGTGGAAGATAACGTCAGCATATAAAGAACTAGTAGTACAGAGTAAATCTTGAATGCTCTTGGGTAAATTAAGGCGTCCTTTTTGAAATTATACCATGGTATTACGCCAAACGCACACAAAAATATTGATATCGACTTTTCGAACATGGCTGACAATAGCTGACAACAGTGTTTCAACTTTGGTTCTCTATGACTGGCCTGTCGTTAATATACAGTTAATATACATAATAAATGTATGGGCTAGCAAACGTCATAATGAAGAGCACTCAAATATATTAAATAACCTCATTAAGTAATTACTGGAAGTAATAAAGTACCGTGTCTATCAATAAGAATGATGTCGTGAGATGGATATTAAAAATAGAATGGCTTCTTGAAAAATAGAACAAATTGTTATATTTTATTGATCAAGAGGAACTTGACATCCACCAGACATTTTTACATTTTACACAGCCACACAAAAAAAGTTCTGACCCAGAAACTAAAACTACCATACTTTATGTATTTTGACATCCTAAATTGAATACGCCAATACGCGAATAAGCCAAATTTTATTTTATTGTGTAATTTTTTTTAATCTTCGATTTTATGCCAAAAATAGCCACTACAAGTATACGAAAAAATGGGAAGAGTAAAAAAAGTTTCTAAATGAAATGTAATGTTAAAACCTATTTTTGTTGTTGGAATTGGCTAACGTAGAAAAAAAGTTGTGACAAAAATTTCTAATTTCTTTCATTCGAAGATATAAACCTGAAAAAAAAGACTACTAAAAATACCATTCAACTAGTTGTTAACGTGTACCAAAATTCAAATTTTCTCAGCGGGGGGCTCAAATCAAAAAAATATATTGGAAGTACCGCCCCTAAATTTACTTTCTAAACACCTCCTTAAAATATTTGCACAGCATTATGAAACACCCTGTATAAACACAAAACTCCATCGATATATTTTTCATCGTATCAGTTTTTGACTAGAATGTTATATGTGACAGTTAGTCAAAATTTTTTTTAGTAGTTTTCTTTAAATAACTCAGCGGGATGACTTTGTATGAAAAAATGCTTAGGACATGATTTTGTTCGTAATAAAAATAACTACAAAATGGCGGTGGTCCGATTACGAAATTAGTAATAACAAAGCCGTGAGATTGAAAAAACGGTATAAAACGTCAATTTTTTAAAGTTGCTGTAAAAATGTCAATTATAAACAAAAAGTGATAAAACTTTCGAAAACTATAGTTCAATATATATACAATAATGACGCTAAAGCCGAAAATCAGGAGAGCAAAACTTTTTGTTCTATAAGGTGTTATACATTCATCGGCATCTGAAACTCGAAACTTTGCCAAATTTGTTCGAAGCTTTGCTGACACTTGAAATTTGGTACACACATAGTGTAAATATGCAGAAACCAGAAGCAATTTGCAAAATTGAAGTATCTTTATTTTTGCAGTTTTGGTAAGGTTTTATACGTCACCCTAGTTTTATACGTCACCTTTTTTTAATTTTTGGACGTATATTTTTGTATATTTATAAAATATTCCATTACGGTAGATTAGCCAGCACAATTACCTACAATTAAAAAAAAATATTTTCATCGTTTAGATCCTAAGCTACTTAACATTTTGCGCCTGTTAGGCGCAAAACAAAAACGTACGTGTGGGATAACCTTTAACTTTAAGTAAAGAATTGTTTAAATTTACTGTTGCATATTTCTAATAGTATTCAAGCGCCGAAGAGCGGAGCTCGCGCTCGAAAATTAAAAGTTAAAGGTTTACCCCACACGTACGGTTTTGTTTTATGTTGATATGTTGAATAATGTACGACTACGGCTAACAGGCGCAAAATGTTAAGTAGCTTAGGATCTAAACGATGAAAATTATTATTTTTTTAATTGTAGGTAATTGTGCTGGTTAATCTACCGTGATGGAATATTTTATAAATATACATATATATTTTTCCAAAAATTAAAAAAACGGTGACGTATAAAACTAGGGTGACGTATAAAACCTTACCAAAACTGCAAAAATGAAGATACTTGAATTTTGCAAATTGCTTTTGGTTTCTGCATATTTACACTATGTGTGTACCAAATTTCAAGTGTCAGCAAAGCTTCGAACAAATTTGGCAAAGTTTCGAGTTTCAGATGCCGATGAATGTATAACACCTTATAGAACAAAAAGTTTTGCTCTCCTGATTTTCGGCTTTAGCGTCATTATTGTATATATATTGAACTATAGTTTTCGAAAGTTTTATCACTTTTTGTTTATAATTGACATTTTTACAGCAACTTAAAAAAATTGGCGTTTTATACCGTTTTTTCAATCTCACGGCTTTGTTATTGCAAATTTCGTAATCGGACCTCCGCCATTTTGTAGCTATTTTTATTACGAACAAAATCATGTCCTAAGCATTTTTTCGTACAAAGTCATCCCGCTGAGTTAGTTAAAGAAAACTACTAAAAAAAAAAAAAAAAAATTTACGATTAAATTGTTAATTTTTTTTTTCCTGATAAAATACTTTGTCAGCAAATTAGCCTGTTATTGTACTCATCATTTATAGTATTCCTTTGTAGTTATTTCCGAGTTATTAAGGAAATGTCACCAACAGTAACTTTTTGGCCTCTGTCGACTGGACTATATGTGTAATTTTGAATATTACACATGCTGTCTGCCTATTTCACACATAATTGATCGATATGGATGTCAAAGTACACATTAAAACATTTCACCTGATCATTATCTTTCCGGAAAAATAGAAAAGATGTCAGTTTTTTCTGTTTAAATACAGTTCATTGGAAACAATTTGATGTAAGTTTTATATACTTATGTAGTTTGTTTGTAATTTTAAAAGATTTTGTCAACAACTAATTAATTTATAAGTATTTCTATAGTAATTACCAATACTGCTTAACTATTGGCTAACAAGTACAATTTGAAAACTGGTAAAAGATGCTTTAGCCTTATGATACCTTTTTCAGGACTTGAATTTGGTTCTAAATCTTCTTTAAAGTCATTTTCCCATTTTATGATTAATCCTGCGCTGGTAAGTCTTTCAATTATACTGATGATTCTTTCCAGTAAAGGAAACTTCTTTCTTACGTGCCTAACCGATCTACAAGCGGGAAGGTGTTGCTCAGCTCTCATTTGTATCCCAAGAATTACCTGCCCAAGTGCGCGTGCCAGTGTTTTTGGGACGATTTAATAACACCACTGCAGGAAACAATGCGGCAATTGCAAACATTATTCGAAATGATATAAATAAAAATTTGTACATCGAGATACTAAGCTTATTAGTGAGTGTAATTTTCGTTTATTCTGGCTTACGCCGAAATATTGCTTTATTTACGTAGAACCAGTGACGTACCGGGAGACTGGTGTCCCCACAAAACAATAAGGAATCGTAGAATAAACTACATCTTTAACGGGTTTAATTTGAAAATTTTAAATTACTCACCATTGATAGCAGGAGATATCCAATATTCACAAGTATTATAGTGTTGGTAATTTCATAGGAAACGTCTTCCCATATAAAGTGGTCGTTGATTATGAAGATAAAAATGTTCTGCCATCCCACCAAACAGAAAGAATATATAAAGAATGACGGCCAACCTACTAATTGATTGAAGTATTGGTTAATATACGTTATATCCTGGTACAACTGTTTTATTTTTCTGATAAGGTAAATACTGTCATAAAAATTAAGTGTTTCGACATGGAACAAGCCATTCATAAATTTATATATGCGTAACAAGAAAATGCCGATACTAAGAATTGTGTATGCAATGGGGAAGTAAAAATAACTATACACGACGTAGAATGTATAATACAAAATAGAAGATCCACTTTCTACAATATAAACGGCAAATAAGACCACCAGTATTACACTTGCCATGAAAAACCAGGTGTTGGTATAGGAATTTGTGGAAGTTAAGCTCAATCTGACTTTCGCAAGTTGAATCTTACGAAATAGGTCTTGCCAGCAATGCATATTCCAAAACGACGATCCCATCACAGTTACCACAAGCAAACCGAAACCTATTATTTCAGTAAAGGATTCAACTATAACTTTTGAGATAAGGTTTTGTGCAAACATTATCCGGATTCGCAGAAATACGAGTGTGGAAGATAAGACCAGCGCAAGAGCAATTAGTAGTACGGAATATATTTTAAACACTTTCGGATAAATTAACTCGTTTCTCTGGAAACTGTACCACGGTATTACACCAAACACACATAAAAAAATTGACATCGGCTTTCCGAACATTGCTTACGAAGAGTACTGCGACTTCGGGTCCGTATAACTGGTTAATAATAACATACCTGTATATAGTTGGCAATTAAATATAAAATGTCAGTGAATTAAAAGCACTCAAATAATGCAGATAATCTAAAGTACTGCATCCATCAATAATGAACGAGTACGTGGTTATAACAAGACCGATATTAAAATGTAGCATCGTTTATTGAAAAATGGAAACCCTTGTTCACATTTTCCAAATTGCTGAAAAGAGAATAACATAAAAATGGGCAACCGCGACACACTTTTCATTTTACAATTCATTTGCATGCATAGAGACCTCAGTGAGAAGTAGATAATAATATTTGATTCTGCTGATTTCAGAAAAAAACATTACTTACTTCCAATTCCATGAATTTCAATGAACGTTTAGTTGATTGAATAACAGACAAAAAGTTGCGAAATTTTCAGTTACTAGGTACTGAAAAATAAAATTTCTTATAGGCTACTCGTAGTTCGGCAGGCTCACATTTATTTTCCTCAGCTTAGTTTCTCAACTGTGTTAATTAGAGTCGAATATACAACCTGTTTTAAGCCACAAGGCCATCCTTCGGAGAAGGCTTCATCAAATTTAACAGTTTTTTTAACAAGTTTACTTAGACTGTCGGGGCCATGTGTTGAGCATCTGGTATAAAGAGAAAAATCGATATTTCAGATAACGCGCGAAATGCATTCCAAAGAACTAGGAATTCCAAGAATAAGTTGTTAAAAAATAATAATAGATCAAATAGCTGGTTTTTAGGCGGATTTTCCAAGCTATAAGAATAGATTAGATGAGATTGACTAATCCGTCCCGTATTGCTACACGGAGTCACTAGAGGAAGGCTAGGGTTACTTGTAAGTCCAGTTAGTCACATAATTATTTATATAAATGTAAATTCAGTTCATTAGATAACTATTAACATGGCATAGTTATGCCAAAGCGTCCCGATATTAAGGGTTCCCGACAGTAAGATAAGAACAGAAACGTATGGACCCAAGAAATGGGCGTGTCGAAGCGAGGTGTCGAATTCAGGAGAGATCTCGAAAAAAAAGGCAGTTTTTCCTTGGGTTCCACATGGAGCAGTCTACTTAGTTTTAGAGTCTCGGGTTAATTTAATAAATTCCAAATTTTGCTACGGATCGCGCATTCCCTGAATCTGGGTACGCTGTCGCGTGTCAATAAAGTAATTAATAATGTTTTTCGAGCCCGTTGTGTCGTTATTTTGTTTGTTTTGTTTTATTGTTATTAAAACCTTTCCTGGAAGGTTTTTGAGTTTTCTTGTACTTCCAACTTAAATATCACCCTATACAACCAACCACTGGATTACCTTGTACATGAGCGACGTACGGTGTCTGGAATTCATTCTCTGAACGTACAACATTTCTTACTTCCCACGTATTAATTAAAGTGTAATGATAATTATAAACTCCCTTTCGAGAAGTTAATAGTAAACTCTTTTGTCAGTTAATACCGTTATGATACTGGTCATAGTGGTAGATAGATAGATAAAGAAATAACCCTTCAGATTACAATACGTTGATATATACGAGTGTGGTCTGAAAAGTTTCCGACCTCAACATGAAGATGGCAGCACTCGTAAATAAAAGCTAGTGAATTTCGTTGTTCATCTGTTGACAGTTACTCACCAAAATTTCAGCCAATTTGGACGCGCAGTCGTTATGTAACAGTCGTTTGAGTGAGTAGATGTGAATGTTTTTATGAAAATGGACAAAATCGAGTATCGGGCTGTCATTAAATATTTGTTTTTGAAAGGCAATACGCCTACGCAAATTAAAGATGAGTTGGATTCTGTGTATGGGGACTCTGCACCATCATTTACCACAGTGAAATTTTGAGCTGGGAGACTATGAACGTTCGGGACGTCCAAAAACTGCAACTACCGACGAAAACATCGCCAAAGTTCACCAAATGGTGCTAGACGACCGTCGAATTAAAGTGAGAGAGATAGAAGAGGTTATGAACATGTCAAAGAAACGTGTTTGTCACATATTAAATCAACATTTAAACATGAGAAAGCTGTCCGCGTGTTGGGTGCCGCGTTTGCTCACGTTAGACCAAAAACGTGTTCGAATGAGCATTTCCAACGCTCTGTTGGCGCAGTTTAGGCGCAATAAATACAAGTTTTGGCGCCGATTAATTACTGTAGATGAAACTTGGATACACCATTATACGCCCGAAACAAAAATACACTCCAAATAGTGGACTGCAAAGTGGGAACCTGCTCCAAAAAAAAAACAAAAACAGTTTTTTCGGCTGGGAAAGTGATGAGGACTGTTTTTAATAGTTATTTTAATCGATTATCTTCAAAAAGGAAAAACCATTACAGGAGCATACTACGCATCACTTGACAAGCTGAAGGCAGAACTTGCGGAAAAACGGCAACATTTGCAGAAAAAGAAAATCCTGTTTCACCAAGACAACGCACCGTCTTACACCTTAGCGGTTGCCATGGCGAAAATCCGCGAATTACGGTTTGAACTGCTTGACCATTCGCCTTACTCACCAGATCTAGCCCCAAGCGACTTCTTTTTGTTCCCTCATCTAAAAATTGCGCTCGGAGGACAGAGATTTTCGTCACATGAAGAGGCAATCACCTTCGTGAATTATTTTGCAGAGAAAAACGCCGAGTACTATTTGGACGGGTTACAGAGATGGGAGCATCGCTGGGAGAAGTGTGTAGAGTTACAAGGAGACTATGTTGAAAAATAAAAAAAAAATTCTGAAAAAATCTTGTATCTTTGTTAGGTCGGAAACTTTTCAGACCATCCTCGTAATCACGGATTTTGCGGGAGCTGTCGTCATTTAAAAACTTCAAATTCAACACATTTGTTCAAGGAAAATAAAACACGATAATTTGTTAGAAGATAGAAATATACATGACCTTTCCTCTGATTATTTAAGAAAAAACAATACGAATAACTAAAAATCAATAAAAAATCAAATCATATACTGGAAATACTTAAGTCAAACATATTATGCTTACATATGTAAAAAGTTGTTTGATACCTTACGGTTCTAAAATCAATAGATGCATATACACAATAAGTAACGTTTAGAGAATTCTAATATTGATTTTCATCACGATGATTACCATTTTCTCTACCTACAAACATAAATTAGTCATTTTCAGTCATATACAGGTTACGTAATTTCATAAATTGTTTCATGTTGTATTTCACATCGTTAAGGTTTTACAATCAGCCAAACATGTATTCTTGCTTTTATAGAAAAAAAATTACATACATATACAGGGTGGGCCAATGGAAACTTTCCACCCCGATTTTTTTTGGTTTAAAATAAAAATCTGGGAAAACGCTCGGATACGTCGACTTTTGATTTGAGGGGGAACTATTTTTCAGTTTTTTTCATCCCCGTAACTTTAACCTCCTAGCTGGGGAGATAACAATCCCCCAAATTTGAATAGGGGATAGGGGTCGTGCCATACCTCTTTTTAAAGGTCTCATCGAGTTCTTTATGACCCTACAATTTCGCCTCATTATTTTTTTCCGTAACGAAATGACAACTTGTCAAAATAAAAATAAATAAAAATAGTTACTAATTTATTGATTAGGTCTACACGTGAACTTTATCTAACAAACTGTTCAAAATGTCCGCCATTAACATCCATGCAATAATAAAATCGATTCTTTATCTCTTCTCTAACATTTTGCAACATATCGTCAGTTATCTTTTGGTGAATTTTAAGGGGAATCTTTCGTACAAAATTTTTATCTAGGAAGCTTCGTAAAAAATACAGGGTGTTGAACTTAAAAAAAATTTAAATAATTTAAAAAAAAAGTGAAATTGGACACATGTATTTTTGTAAACATTGGCTAAAATCTGAGGGTTTCTTCTAAAATTTACATGCTCCAGTGGCGGAGATACAGAGTATCGATGGCATATTTTCTAAATAAAATAGTCACTGCTTTACTGTAACAATCATGATATTTTCGGATTCGTCTTTCAATTTTCTTAAAATTATTAGTCTCGTATGTTTTTGGAAGAAAAGCCTGATTTTGGAGTAAAACTTAAAAAACAAACTGAAAACATTTTTACTTAAATGACATGACAAACACTAATCATCCGGTTATTTAATCAAATAAAAAAATTAATAACATTTGTCATCATTTTAATGATTTTATTTCTTTTTAACGAAATGTCCTAGATATAAACTTTATACGAGGTTTCATTTTTGATCACCGTTTGTGAATCACCCTGTATATTCGATGGACAGAATAAATTATATTTAAAAAATATGTGTATTTCCATATCATAGTAGTTCATGTTTTACTAAAA